TGCAGGACTGGACATGTCCAGACATATTCTCCTATGGTATGGCCTAAACCCATTTTGGGGCTTCAGTACTTTTCCATTGAGTCAGGGGTCTCCTGTGCACAGCTTGCTGTGAGTGAAGACAACTGTCTCCCCTCTTTAAACAGTAACACCCCGTAAAATAGGCCTTAAACTCAATTTACCAAACCCCTCGTGTTTGTAAATACTGTGATTATAGAACAACATGAAATATAATGCATTTTCATTGTGGGTTATACAAGAATATATTTGATTATATTTGATTATATTATCTTTCGTTTTAATTATTCAACTTAATATGGAGACCTCAACAGGTTCCAGATATATGACAAATATACCCAAATGACCGCAGAGGTGGGTTTTGTTTTTTCTAAACCTCTCTAAAAAGGTCAAGTTTCACTTGTTTTGCATCAATCTTGATACAGGGTACTAATTAAATGTTTGAGTTTGGATTCCTAAAGCTTTTAGTCTGCTATCCCATCATTCAAGGGTGGTTTTCACTATAAGTAATGGGTTTTTTTTGGACGGAAACTACAATTTACAGTTTTTTACTATGTTCAATCTGAATTTACTTTAAAAATAAAAACATCTATATTGATTCTGACTTTTCTACATCCAACTCACAAGTGTATCATTGCTTTGAGAAAAAAGATTATTAAGTTACCCTTTTTAGAAGTGAAGATATAGTCATTTGTTCTGGGCATGTCATTTTCAAGCCTGAAACCTGAAAAACATGCTTTAAACATAGTTTAACAAAATGTATACATTTTTGATTGGATAAAACAAATAATATTTAGTTAATTTTAACGAGAAAAAACTGTTTGATAAAATCTATATTTTTTTGTTTGGATTAAATATAGAATTTAAATTAATTGACTTCCTTCAACAAGACAAATATACTTTGTGCCAAGTCTTATATAATAGTTTCCATGGACATAAGAAATATTGTTTGAGGCAAGTTATTTATTTTTCATTGGCTCAAGCTATAGAGTATAGATGTGAACCATTACCCTACATTTTTTTAATTGGTTGAACGAAATATTTTTACCAGCTGCACCTGCAAGGTGAATACAGCTGGTAACAGAAAAAGTGTTTGAATGCGTACATTAACAGGTTCATGATATCACTGCCCCGTCCAAGACACGATCTGACTTTCATTACATTTGACTCGAGTGTTTCGTCAACTTAATGTGTTGCTTAACATAATACTTCTGCATCCAGTATGTGACACTGTGAGTGTTGCACGGCCAGATACGGCTCAAGAAGCTGACTCAAAATAACTGGATGGCCTACCTGCCTGTCAGCCTTCCATCTGGGCACAAACTTATCTCGTGCCCTCATTGGTCATGTGCGCGTTTGTGTGTGTTGGAGGAGGGGCTCTGTGAGGAAGTGGCAGATTTTCTCCGGTTGTGTATTTTCAAATTCTAGCGATCTCGAGCCGGTTTCTCAAACTTACCTACCCTACCTTTAAACAAAGAGAAGGAGTATCACTGATAAGGGAGGGTAAAGTAACTGAGTACATTTACTAAAGTACTATACTAAATTTAGAGCTGCTTGTGCTTTACTTGAGTATTTCCATGTTCTGCTACTGTGTACTCCACTACAGTTCAGAGGTACATGGTGTACTTCTACTCCTCTACAGTTCAGAGGTACATGGTGTACTTCTACTCCACTACAGTTCAGAGGTACATGGTGTACTTCTACTGCACTACAGTTCAGAGGTACATGGTGTACTTCTACTGCACTACAGTTCAGAGGTACATGGTGTACTTCTACTCCACTACAGTTTCAGAGGACATGGTGTAATTCTCTCGCACTACAGTTCAAGGTACATGGTGTCTTCTACTCCACTACAGTTCAGAGGGTTACATGGTTGTGTACTTCTACTCCACTACAGTTCAGAGGTACATGGTGTACTTCTACTGCACTACAGTTCAGAGGTACATGGTGTACTTCTACTGCACTACAGTTCAGAGGTACATGGTGTACTTCTACTCCTCTATAGTTCAGAGGTACATGGTGTACTTCTACTCCACTACAGTTCAGAGGTACATGGTGTACTTCTACTGCACTACAGTTCAGAGGTACATGGTGTACTTCTACTCCACTACAGTTTCAGAGGTACATGGTGTACTTCTACTCACTACAGTTCAGAGGTACATGGTGTACTTCTACTGCACTACAGTTCAGAGGTACATGGTGTACTTCTACTCCACTACAGTTCAGAGGTACATGGTGTACTTCTACTGCACTACAGTTCAGAGGTACATGGTGTACTTCTACTCCACTACAGTTCAGAGGTACATGGTGTACTTCTACTCCACTACAGTTCAGAGGTACATGGTGTACTTCTACTGCACTACAGTTCAGAGGTACATGGTGTACTTCTACTGCACTACAGTTCAGAGGTACATGGTGTACTTCTACTGCACTACAGTTCAGAGGTACATGGTGTACTTCTACTCCTCTACAGTTCAGAGGTACA